AGGCATCAAGGCGCCCGCGCCACCCAGCGGATTCGCCACCCCGATCCCAGGCCTGGGCAGTGGCCTCGCTAGTCCGAGGACTGGGAGAAGTACGCCAGAACCAGCCTCTGGGTACAAGACACCAGAAGACTCTGAGAACCTCTCGGTGAGGATGCACGATGTGGTGTGATGTGGTGGGGACTGCCGCGAGACTGTTTGGAGCGGAAGTTGCGAGAGTTGTACGGCCATGTGTTCGACGTAAGGTATCATCTATGCGACATGACATAAGTTCAACAGTGTGGGCTGTTGTATAGTGATCGGGTCCACTGGTCAGCCACCGTGGAGAGTAGAAACGAAGAGTATAGTGTCTTTGTTGGCGAGTTCGTATTTGTCCTCGCCCTCGAGTTCCCAATCAGAGTCGTTGATTAAAACGAGAATCCCTGGTCGACTTCCAGTGGGCCGTATCAGCGCTGTGGTTCCAGTATCGACGGGACTCTCACATACACATTGCCGTCGAGGACAAACAGCTCTTTTCTCGAGTCTTTCATCAGATTACTGCAAAGGTACTTGACCAGGTATCCGACAGTAGGGGGTTTCCCGTCATCAGCGTCTTTGGCAAGCGTCAAGGAGTGTTTTGACACATTGTCAAAGAGCATCTCTAGGCCACCACTTGGGCTCCATCAGTGGGCGATCAACCAGAAGGGGGGGGAAGCTCGACCCACGTGAACTCGACTGTGATATCGATGGTTTCGAACATTCTGTGACGACGAGATGTACAGATGCGATGCTTGTTAGAAGGGCTGCGAATGAGGATATCCTGGACTCTGGATAATGGATACTGGGTGACTGGAGAACAGCGCAGCGACTTGGATTTTCCGAATCGCCAGGGCCATTTGGCGGAATATAGATTTTCCGGGGATTGGCAAGCTAGTCCCTCTTTTGACGTTCGGGACGTTTCTCATCACGTGGCAGGCAATTGGCGTCGTCAGGTTCGGGATCCGATTTTAGACTCGAAGCGTCTCATTTTAATTACTTGGTACTTCTCGGCACCCGTGCTCGCTTATGGCTTTTTCAAACGTCAAGGCAGGGGTGGGCATGTTAACTGATTTCCTGATCATTGGGAACAAGGTCTCTTCCTTCGTCTGCTGTTAAACACCGCGAGATAACCACCATATGATGTACCGTCCATTCTCTCATTCCATCCGCTGCACTGTCAATGGAGCATGAGCCAATCTCATCCAGCCTCAGGCACCGAGCTGTTCATTCGAGTAGGCTCCAACAGCTGTACGCTTGGAAGAGATTCAGAACAACCAAAATAGTTGGAGCAGGAGCCAACCCGCAGGAACCTGAACCTTTGGTTAGAAGATGCATATCCCTCGGAAGAAGTACTCACATTTTGTCTGGAAGAAGCCCCGCTTGCGACGGGGATTGAGGTTGTTGCAGTACTCGAGGTAAGTGAAGACAGTGTGTGAGTAGCCACAGGGATAGACGTGGTAGGGGCTGGGGCTGGCGGCTCCGTGATGCTGATGGTTGCTGTTGCGCTCCTCACATTCCCGACCCGAGTACAGAGCCCCGCCGCCGCCTGATATACGGAAAGACCGCTTGGATCTGCAGTGGATGCGTAGGTAATGCATGCGCTCTGGAGCTGGTCGAATGGGCCTGGGTTATAGGCTGAGCCGGAGTAACAGAGGCAACTGGCTTGATCACCATCGTCCAAGGAAGTGAAGCCAGAAGTCGCCGCAGCACATGACTCAATTAGGGAAAAGACCTGCAAACAACTGGCCGAGTACGAGTCGACGGGCATTGATACTGTGCCTGTGATTGACCCGGACCCGGCTCTTGAAGAAGTGGTATCGTCGGTGGTCGTCGTGGTAGCAAGCAACAGCGACGAGAAGCAATCGGCCGCCGTGGTTTGATCGCAACATGAGATGAACGCGCTACCTCCCAGGGAAGCACAGGAGGCGCAGAAGTTGCCGACGCAGGCTATGTGGCAGTTAGTCCCCGAGGGGTGTCTTTGTAAAGGAGTGACATGATGTACTCACAGCTCACGATAGGGGGGCACGTGGCCGCATAGTTCGTGCAGGACGAATACAACGCTGAATACGAAAGGTCTGATGTGGTCTGCACGTCTTGTCGGGCATGGAAGACATTCACATGGGCGACCACAACACCTGCAAGGCTGCTCAAAACAGCGCTCGACATTAGAGCAAAAGCCATGGTTAGATTTGCAAGAGAAGCCGGGGCGAGAGTTTGGTCACATCCAAGATCAGGCTGAGACACGCGCGACACAGCGAGACGGTCCCAAGATTTATACTCGAACTCGGCACTTTTGTTCCACGCGAGGGCAGACTATCGCAAAGGGCCAGAAACACCTCGGGTGCAGATTCGCGCAACCCCTTGACACCCATGAAAAACTGTACTCACAGAGACAGACGGCGTGGCCGACTAGATTGGTTCGCCTGCAAGCCGTGGCCAGATTGGTACTAATGGTAGGTTGCTACACACCAATTAACCTTGCCGAACATAAGGCTACGTCGCCGAATCGGTCGATTTTCTCGCTAAAAACAGCCCAGAACAAAGACTCAGCAAGCCACATTCGGTCCAGACACAGGAGGGACTTTTGACGGACTCTGGAATTTCCACGACAATACTGGTCAGTTTTTATGCAGCCCTAACAGGGTTATGTCGGCAGTGCTCCATGGAACCATGCCGGCCACCTAGAAATACGATGCACTTGCCTTCTTCGCAGCCGACTGTTTTCCATCAGGCTCCTCTTCCTATCCAAACAATCCGAGGCTTACGGTCGACATGGCAAGGATTCTTCTCAATTATTCTAGCTCTGATGTTCGGCTATTCTTTCGTATCTTCTTCGTTGTTGCATTTATCCTCATTAACCTTCTGGGGACCAAATGTCTGGCCGTCCGCGCGAAACTCAGACTTCTCCAGCGGCGGACGGTTCCACTGCCGTACATGACTTCTTGGCTTGGAAGCTTCGACTCTTTGTATGCTTTGCGTGTGGTCAAGACACTGCCAGGCGGATGGCTGAGCTTGTTGATGATCTTTGCTTACCTCCTGAACCTGAGCTCGGATTTTACTTCAGCTCTTATCAAGTCAGTGCCTGTCCACGACCGTTGTCAGTTCGGTACCGGCCTAGTGGTCTCGAGTGCCCTCATTGAACTGGTGCCATGGAATGGTGCGCCGTACACGGTCGTATCCCAAGCGCAAACGACGAGCCTGCTCAACGACGGCCTGAAGGGAGTCTACAAAAAGGCAAATCGAGATATCAATTTCAGTGCAGACGCCAATGACTTGCTTGGCGGATGGCACTGCGACAGGAATTCGCTTGAGCTGGATTATCCCTGGGACGTATCAGTCAATGACATAGTGACCAGTCTACAGCAACATGATCTCCTGTACGACACTCCGTATGCCGTCTCCGCCTCGATCGGAAACACATCCCACTTAGTGGTGCTCGATACGTCTGTTGGAGAGAATGTTGGCACAGTCTTCGACGTACGGTTCTCGGTCGATATCACTCCATATGGTAACGTGACGAAGCACATGCAAAGTTACCAATGCACTCTAGATGATACCTACGGTTACCTACAACCGATCCAGGAAATGATACATTCACAAGACACTCTCAAGAACTGGGCCGAAATGTTCCAAGGCTCGGTATACGAGGGCACGGGCACACCTGCATCCAACAACACTGGAGGTATCCTGGAACAGACTCTCAACTCAATGACCATGGTTGCAGGGGGCGACAACTACCTCCTCAACACCGCGCACTCCTCAGAAACACAAGGGTGCCTGACGCAGCGCACGCACATCCTATGGGAACTCCTCATGCTCTCCGGCCTTACACTCCTTCTCTTAGCTTTCCTGCTCTTATTTTGGCTTGGAATGGTCATCAGGTTGAAAGTCCTGAGCGGTCGCATGAATGTCGAAGATGCAAGGTGGATCCAAGAGAATACTCCGACCGGAAATTTCGGGTGGATGGCACAGGCTGTGAGGGAATCTCACCGACCACGCGCCGTACAAGTCAAGACGGCTGACCTGAAGCATTGGCATTTTGGAGGGAGCTCGGAGGGAGCTGGCGGCCTCTGGATCACCAACAAGGCAACTCATTCAAATGTCGCCGAGGAAACAATCTCGTTGCGACCAAGTTCGGCACTTTAGGGGAGTTCTGGACTATTCCGGTGGGAAGGCAGAAGCAGACATATTTGCAAGACAAGCCCCAATACCGAACCTCTGTTACATAGCATTGGGAGATGCACTGCCACAGTACTAGCCGACCGAAAACGGAGCCACCCATCATAGCCGCTACCCCTGATCCTACCGAACTGGACCCTCCCATCGCGGAATGGGCCATGTTCGGCATAAAAAGCGGCCAGCCCTTGTCACTTATTAGCTGGCGGCAACGACCCAACGCGGGAATGCGTCGCGAATAATGAATTGTTTGCTTACTCGACGTCGAAGATGCTCCTCCCCTTCCATTTACCGATCCAATCGCCTTTTCCCGTTTCTCTTCGCACTGGCGAGCATAAAACACTCGAGAGAGGCTGATTTCGAAAGGAATACCTGAACGGGCGCTATTCTCCTCTTTTTATTTCCCCATTTTGCACAGCCTCCTACAAGCGCGCGTGCTGTGACTTGGGACCTGGGCTTGCACGACGGGACTTGGTGCGGTGTAAGGCATAGTTCCTGACGGGGCGCAGGGGTTTGGTTCAGCTGCTATCAGTGGCTTGTCGCCGAATCGCTCGCTGTTTGGGGGGAGTAGTTCGGCGGTGGTGTCGTTCCTTCAGATGGCCCAGTTTACGGATGGAATTGTGTCTCAGGACAGGCAGAAGGGGAAACACTCTCCTCTTAAAAGAGATCTGTCGACGCCGAGAACCATGGAGCTCCTCTTTCAATCTGGATAACAGACGTTGAACAAAAAGCTTGTCTCTTTGCCGATCTACCGACCGACTACACCTTCCCACCTCCCTGACTCTCGAAGCACACGTTGTCCTTGTACAATGCCATCGTCGAAATGTCTCCGTAAGTGCTGATCGACCCGTCTCTCGTCCATTGTGCAAATTTGGCTGAAAACCGGACGCTTCTTTAGCCCTCAATGACCCTTCGAACCTGTGGCCATATTGCCCGTCGGTCGCTGCAGCATTGATCCTCGCGATCCTCTTCCTGGGCACTACCGTCGTCCACATATACCAGGCCGTTCGCCACCGACAACTCTTTTGTCTTGTCGTCGTCATCGGTGCCTTCATGGAGACGGCAGCCTTTGCCTTCCGGTTCCTGTCGGCCAAGCATCCCACCCAGAAAGGAGCGTATGATGCGTCTTTCCTCCTCAATCTTTTGGCCCCAATCTTTGTCAACGCCTTCGACTACATGATCATCTCGCGGCTGGTCCGGTGTTTTCTGCCCAAGACCAAGGTCTTTGGGCTGGCGGGCAACATCATGGGGAAGATCTTTGTCTGTTGTGATATAATGTCTGGAGCTTCCTGATTGCGAGACCGAGCGCCCCCTCGCTGACGTTGCAATGCAGATCATTCATAATCCAGATCGGTGGCGGCCTTTTGACCCTGAGCAAGACGCTAAACTCGGCCAAGACGGGGATTCACATTGTGACGTTTGGGGTGGTGTTTCAAGAAGCACTGATCGTCTTCTTCTTCGCCCTGACCGTGCGACTGACGCGGAAGCTTGACTGGGTCATACCTCGCGGCCAGACGTCCAAGGAAACCAAAATGCGAGTCCACGCCGTGCAAATCTCCTTGCTCTTGATCACCGTATGTATTCGTCAAATGCTCTCTGGAAAATTTGTCTGGTTTGGAGACTGAGATTTCCTGCACAGTACCGCATCGTCTACCGAATCGTCGAGTTCTCTTCCGGCGAAGGCAGCAGCTTGAACACGTACATCAACAACCACGAGTGGTGCGAGTATGTCTTTGACGGCATACCGATGGTATTTGCCTTGGTGGTCATGAACGTCTGGCATCCAGGGATCGTGCTGTCGGCTGGAAACGACGATGGATTTGCGGTACCCTTGAACGAATACTGAGCGGATTTCCGTCATTTCTCTGTGTCGGAGTTGGCTGGCATTGCGATTTGCGGTTCCCAACATCGAACACCTGTGCGGGTATCTTTTCGAGGCGCAAGGTGAGACCAAAACGGCCAGGAGTTTCTCGCTCATCTTTCAATGGATTGACAAGGAACTGGATATCCAAAGTCGCCGAATGGGGAGAACTTATTCGTGACTGGTGAGGACATTTCTACAGAATAGGAAAGTTCCGTTGCTCGTCTATGATAGGGTTACATCCCTCTGTATGTGTTGTATACCGAGGCACTATGTGTATTTTGTATAGAGATTGGTATCGGGCTGCATACCAGGAATAAGGTTAAGCTAAAAGGCTTAGAACAATTATAGCGCAATTTAATACAAAAGACACCCGTGACACCGTCGTATGGTGCCGCGCTAGTAGCTTGGCGGACGCAACCACTAGCAAGAAACAGAAATTTTACTTGTGTTCGTTACATATCGCCTGGCGTTGACAGGTCTAGTCCACTGCAATTACAAAGAAATATCAATTAGATTGACAGGAGCGCATGAGACGCACAAAGGACGTCACTCTATGTCTCAGCTCGGCTTGCAGGGCTAAACTTCTGTCCTCGTCAGTCCCATCAAGCAGCCTCGATTTTGCCGCTCACTCACTCCCTCCACTTTTATTTCTCTGGGTGTAATGTCTCCTCCTCTCGTTCAAGACGAGTACCTCAGCGCCGGCGGGAACAGACACAGCGCAGCTGCAGACTGGTCCCCCCGGTCAGGCATCCTCGCCTTCGGAGCCGACCAGAGTGTTGGCGTGTGGTCGCCGCAGAATGACTCTGGCCACGGCATATCCGCCCTGCTCTCTGGGCACACAGGGAAGGTGACGGCGGTGAGATTTCTGGCTCCCGACCAAGACGGCTCGCCTGAACTGTTGGTCTCGGGTGGTGCCAACGGAGATATCGCCGTGTGGAGACAAGAGGCCAGTGACCGGAAGTGGAGGTGTCTGGTGAAGACGGCAGCGCATGAAGGCGCCGTCAACACCATCGCCTCTTTGGACCAGGGCAGCGTCCTGGCGACCGGAGGAGCCGACGCAAAAGTAAAGCTCTGGAAATTTCGGGACACCGAAATCAAAGCCTCGGCCACGCTGTCCCTCAAACCGAGATTCATCCCCCTGGCTCTCGCAGTTCGTACTTTTCCATCCACGTCTCCTCCTGACCACGCCTACTTGGTCGTGGGAGGCACTCGGAATGATATCCAAGTGTACGCCATCGAGGGTTTGATATCCGCCCCAAAGTTCCATCTCCATGCCACTCTCACCGGACACGAAGCATGGGTACGATCTCTGGCCCTGACACAGACTCCCGATGGCGATATCCTGCTGGCTTCTGCAAGCCAGGACAAATATGTCCGCCTTTGGCGCTTTCAGCTAGGAGGAAGCAGCGCGACAAAACCACTCGCCGGGCAGAACGGAGTCGCAATCGCAAGCAGGACCTTGTCGGCAAAGATCCAGACCGTCTGTGCCGGAGAGCACAAATATTCCATCACGTTCGAGGCATTACTTCTGGGCCACGAAGATTGGATCTACTCAGCCGCGTGGAGTCCTTCTGGTACCCAACTCCTGACCGCATCGGCCGACGGATCTCTTTCGATATGGGAGCCAGACCCGTCGTCGGGGATATGGGTCAGCATGTCTCGTCTGGGAGAGATCAGTGTATCACAGGGCGCCACTACCGCGACTGGCTCTGCTGGCGGCTTCTGGACAGGACTTTGGGGACCTGATGGCAAGACTGTCACTTGTCTTGGCCGCACAGGCAGCTGGCGACTGTGGCAGTACGACGAGGCATCACAGTTTTGGACGCAAAGGTTCGGCATCGGTGGACACACCAACTCCGTCAACGGGATCTGCTGGTCCCCCGACGGAACCTACCTGCTCTCCACCAGTTCCGATCAGACCACCAGGTTGCATGCCGAGTGGAAGAGAGGGGAGAAATGGAGCTGGCACGAGTTCTCACGGCCTCAGATTCACGGATACGACCTGAACTGCATCGCGAGCACGACCCCGTATCAGTTCTCTTCGGGCGCGGATGAAAAGCTGTTGCGCGTGTTCAATGAACCAAAAGATATCGCAAACATGCTCCATCGACTGTGTCAGATCCCATTGCCTCCCGAAGTGGGCCAAATGCCGGACACCGCAGCGATCCCGGTGCTGGGTCTGTCGAACAAGGCCATGGACGACAGCGAGGAGACGGGCGATGGCACTGAGAACGAGACGACTGATCCCAACACCACGTCGAACGGGGGAGGGTCTTCCCTGCTCGAGATTCAAGAACCACCCACGGAAGACCTGCTGGCGCGGCACACCCTGTGGCCCGAGCACGAGAAACTGTACGGCCACGGCTCAGAAATCTCCGAGGCAGCGACACCCCCAGACGGCAGTGTTCTCGCCACAGCGTGCAGAGCGAGCTCCCTCGACCACGCGGTGATCCGCCTCTACGACACACAGGACTGGAACGAGATCAAACCGCCTCTGTCGGCGCACTCGCTCACCGTCACGAGACTTGCCTTCTCACCACCGAACTCAGAGTATCTGCTGAGTGTGGGACGGGATCGGCAATGGGCCGTATTCAAGCGGGCGGACGGGACCTCCAAGAGCTGGACCCGCGTCGCCATCAACGCCAAAGCACATTCACGGATGATTCTGGACGCCACCTGGCTTGTGGGCAGCACTAAAGTCCCAAGTTTTGCCACCGCCGGCCGCGACAAACTCGTCAAGGTGTGGTCGAGAGCTGCCGACCAGGAGGACGAGACAAACTTTTCAATGCGCTCCTCGATCGCGCGAAAGGGCCCCGTCACCGCTATCGCTGCCACATCTGCCGTCTGTGCTGACGGCCCGCGCGGAGTCCTCGCGGTGGGCGAAGATGACGGCACCATTTCACTACATGGTATCGACGTGGACGGGGACCTGGGGGTGTTGCACACGGTCGAGGTTCCCAGACACCTCTGTCCTTCAAAGACGGTGAACCGGCTGGCGTGGCAGCCTAGAGGACTACTCGACGGTGATGGTCAGGGTCACCAATTGTTAGCCGTGGCTTCGGCCGATGGCTCAGTACGCATTCTGAGCATAGACGTCGTGCGCATGGGCAGATGAGCTATTATTCACCATCCAGAAGATGTCTGGTATGTTTCATTGTTTTGTGATCAGCTGAGCGCCGCTTCGCTTGCACATTGTGCCCCATGGAGCAAACACGTCGACGGGGAGCATGCCTTGCCCGCAGGAATAGGGGCTGTTCTGACGACCTGACATGGCGGGCACAGTGTGATCACCCGCATTGAGGGAGCAGACGAGGGGATTCATTCCACACAGCTTCACGGCTTTCAGCCCGTACATATCAAGGCCGCAGATGAAGCCATTGACGACCAGATACACGGGTCCATCGCAGCTGAAAGACGCTTGACACGAACCAAAGAGCGGACGCACGAGACTCGAAGATGCTTCTCAGCCGTACGCCTCGTCCAAGGACTGGTTTTCTCCACCCGACCTTCTCCTGTTTCGTATTCATGTCCAACGAAACAGCCCTACCTAGTACCACGAGTAAAGACTGAGGAGACTGAGAAGAACGACTGGCCCAGAAGGGTCTTGCCTGTGGCCATTCTGATATTATATTTGCTATTCTCACGAAACCCCTGGAATCTTGTCTCTCCCACACCCGCATATTACGCAAGCGAGATCTCTAAGGGGCCGGAAAACGAGATACCCGGCTTGTCTTCGCTGCTGCGCCTCTATCTTGTGCCGCGCTGCCAGCCAGGTACATATGTGACGGACATTACAGAGCCACGCGGTCGAATAGACAATGGAGATCCCGGGATCGCACATTCCTGGATCTTGCTTGACCTGATCTGAGTTGGTCTGGCCTGGCGTACCTAGGTAGACGGAGGGTGACCAAGGCATGATCCGATGGGTGTCTGGACTGTGGAGGGTTAGATGACTTCGTACCTCCTCCTTTCCATCCTCGTGACCTCGTCGGGTCTGTATAAGAGATAGAGACAGAGATAGAAATGACGAATCCAAAAGACCCAGCCTGGCGGTGCCACCAACTCAACTCGAGTCGGGCTTTTTCACATTTCACATTTCACTTTTCCCTTCTCTGCAGATAGATGTAGATGTAGATATAGACATACATGGTGTTAAGACCAAATTCTTCCCTCTTCCCGTCTTTCCTCTTCCGTCCCTCCTCTTTCCAGCGCCTAGCGAAAATGCGGTTTGTAGATGCGTAGATGCGCTCGCTCAACGCCCAATGCTCAAATGAAATGAGTTGATCTTGTTGAAGATCAGACTCAGACTCGGACCCCCCCTCCCGGGAGTCTTCCACAGGGGTATCGCCGTTCAGAGTTCCTCGTGTAGAACGAACAGGACAAACATAAAAGTACCTCCCCATCGTCACGATTAACTCAAAGCTCCGGCGTCTTCTCAAGCCCGTACCCAGCCTTGCCCTCGAAACTCTCGTATGTCTTTGCCTGACTTCCTCCTCCTCCTCCTCCCACTACTCCATGCCCTCGCGGCCCCCTCTCGGCCAAATCGTCCTTTAACCACTTGAGGACCAACTCGCCGAGCTTGCTGTTGCCGCTTTTCGCCGTCGAATCGTCGACCTCGTCGTCGAACCGGTCCATGGGCCCCCACTCCTTCACCCGCCCCAGGTGCATGTGCACGAGGTGCGTGGGCCAGCCGACCAGGTTGTCGAGGATGTGCGTCGCGTAGACGACGGTGGCGCCGCGGCGGTCCGTCTCCCCACGCAACCAGCCGAGGAAGTTGCTGCGGCTGAGCAGGTCGAGGTCCACGGTGATTTCGTCCAGGAGGAGCACGTCCCACGGTCGGATCAGGCCCATGGCCAGTTGGACGCGGCGGCGTTCGCCGTCCGAGACCATGTGCACTGTTGTTCGTCACACCCACCACCCAGAAGAGGGTGGGGGTAATCTTTGTTAGTTGTTTTTGATGCGTCTTCCTCATCATCGCTATTCGCCATCTCTTTTCTCTCTCGAAAAAGGAACGAAGGCAGGGCAGCAGGGGCGGCGGATAAATTCGGGGAGATGGAAAGGGAAGAAAAAAAAAGGGGGGAAGAGGGACTCACTCCGCCACGAGAGATCAATGTCCAATATCCTGACCAACTCGTCCCGCCTGTCGGGATAATGTCCTCCACCGACGCTCTCCAGCAAGATCGGCACCGCAATGTCCGTCCGCACGATCGGGTTCAACACCCACTCCAGCCCCAGGTACGTGACGCCCTCGAGGCCCGAGGCGAAGGGGTCGACGCCCGCGATCGCGATGGCCCGCGACGGCGCCAGCTTCTTGCCCGACAGGAGCCGCAGGAGCGTCGTCTTGCCCGCCCCGTTGGCCCCGATCAGCAGCGTCCGCGACCCGGCGGGGAGGGAGAGGTTGATGTTCTCCAAACCGGTCGAGCCGTCGGGGAACTTGTACGTCAGGCCGCGGACGAGGATTTCGGGTTGTGGCGCCGTTGACGTTGACGTCGACGCTGACGTTGTGGTCTGTGACTCCTCCTGAGGCGCCATTTCTTTGAGATGGCGGAGAATGGGTGGGATAAAGGAGAGACAATATGGGTGGGAGGGAGAATATTATTTTATACAACGTTACATGGTCAAAGAGTCAGTCGATCATGTCATGTTTCTTTTTTGATATATTCAAGTAATCCAGCCAATCAGTCTCTCCGTCTCGGTCTGTATCCATTTTCACGAGGAATGACATGATTTCTCTGCGCCTTTGCCACTTCCTCCTCCACCACCACAGTCGAATCAAGTCAATGGACAAGGCTCTACAGAACTCAACGACATCACTCACTTCCGTCTACGACGAACTCGACACCAATCGAAACCATTGCTCCTTATTGTTGGGTATATCGCACCTTTTCTGCACGCAATACAATGTCGACAGCCTGCTCCGTGCCCTCTGCTATGCTCCAATGCCCTTCAGGTTGCTTGTGTTCAAATCATGCTTTGCGCGCTCGCTTGCTCGAGTTGCTCACGTCTATGCCGGTCGCTTGCTATTATTAGAGGCTTGTTTCAGCCTGTTCAGCTCCATCCACCCCCTGCTAAATCGTTAAGAAAAAGACATCAAATACATCCAAGCCAATAGAGTTGGCCAGTCTTTTCAATCGAGCTCTCCTTTCCTGTCCCATGAGACTACTACCTCATTGGCAGTAATTTGCCGGAAATGGTCCCTTCATTCCCCTGAGCTCGCCTTGCCACCAGTCATCAGTGCTCTCAGTCTTCTTGATCACCCGAATTCGATCGCCTTCTCGAAAAGCTAGATCGCCCTCACTTTGGCCGTCAAAATCGTACAGTGCTGTTACAAATGTGGTTTGTTGCGAGGGTAGTCTTGGCGGAGGTGGTGGAGGACGTTTCTTTTGCGCAATCGATGCCGCCGTCGCAGCAGAGACGGCCGAGACTCCAGAGTGCTGTCGATCACGAGAGAAATAGTCTGTGTTCGGCCCTGCTGGAGAGTATGCCATCGGAGTCTGGTATGCGGATTGCGAGGGTGACGGGCTGGCGATGAATTCCTGTGGGGTGGTTGCACTGAGCATAGACGACGCAGCCGGCGAGGATGACAACTTGGGCTTCGGCTCGAAAGATGGCGATGGTGGAAGAGCCCTCGCGGGGGAGACCGACTGCTGGCGATGTGCAGTGAGGGCCGAGCCACTTGGGCGGCGAAAGCCATTGACCGGAGGGTTGCCATTCTCCATGGACGACCTGGCTGCTTTTCCATTGGCCAAGATGGCCAATGACTCAGCCTCGCGTTGCACCGGTTTGAATGCGTCGTTCCACAGTCGGATCACTTCATCCATGGGCGGAGCAGGAGACGGGAATCCTTCCTCTGTGCAGTACGTGTGCAGCACCGTGTAATAGTGTCCCAGCAAGTTGTTCTGAATCTGGATCTGGGCTGCCAAAAAGTGAGGAAGCAGAGAGAAAACCGACGTCAGGAGCCGCGGAAGACAGCCTCTCAAGTTGTCATCGGCGGCGTGGTATGCTTCGATGGCCGCTTCTAGCTCGGACTGGGACTTGCTCAGGGCCACATTGTCTCGTTCCGACCGTTTTGTCTTCTTCAATTGAGAGTCAACCCGGCTCTGATACCTTTCGAAATCGAGTTTTCGGTCCTCGCGCTTTTTGATCGTCTTCTTCATGTTGTGCAGGCTGTCCTTTGCACTTTGAGCCGGCTTGATGAGCCTCTCTTCAACCTGAGCCAAATCCTCGGTAAGATCTCTCTTTAAGTCCTCGCACTCGCCCTTGATCCTGGCGGTCCTGCGGACAACGTGATCGGGGGTCTGGACGGGGACATGGCCCTGGTAATCTTCGCTGGCCCCGACAATCGGAGCGTACAGGATGCTGAACTCGTCAAAAACGCGGTGTTGGTGGGTGAGGATGGAGGTCCACGACTCTCGCCATGCTTTGGAAGCCTCGATAATCTTGAAAAAAAAGGTCAGAGGTTGGCCGAGCAAGAGAATATGGGGAGGGACATACTTTTGTCAACAACTTGTCCGCCTCTTCAAAGTCCTTGAGCAATACCGACACCTGTTGTTCATCGGCCGACCTTTTCATGTACTTGCCAAAATGCCGCTGGACACTGTGCATGATGGCTGCTGGCTTGCTGGCTATGGGGCAAGGGCAAGACCGTCACAAGCACAGTGGCCTGAGGAATTTCTTTGGAGGAGGCCAGAATGAGGGTGTCGAGAACAAAAAGCGGATGCGGATGTGATTTCCAGCTGCCAGACCCTAGTAGTTCCCTCGAGAACGAGCAGAGCGCAGGTGCCCTTTTGGTGGCACAAGACTGCTGCCGCCGCTGCCACTGCCGCTGCCACCAAAGTCTGCTCCCGGTAGTCGGAGTCTGGGTCGATCGACGGTGTAGAGGCTCGGCCAGGCTTGGAAGAAAACGAACGGCGGCGGATACGGCAAGGGGAAGAAAATCGAGTATTAAAAATCGGTATGGTAGGTAACTGACCAGCAGTCCAAAAAGTTTACCCTTTCTTTCATCTAAGTGAGGTACACGAGGAGCATGCGAGAAAATTAGTTGGACAGCAGTAAATAATAAATGTCAAGTTAACAAACCGTAGTAGGGGGGTGGGAAAGGGACGGGACTCAGTAACTCAGGGTTTCATGTCATAGGCAGTCACTGGGTAGGGTTTAACTAAAGGGATCATCGGGCGGGGGGAGGGGGGCTCAACGGGGGCGGATGAAGCCTGGGCCTCCCTGACTTAAGCCCTGCGGTTTCTCGTTCTCCTCTACACCCGGGTTTACAGCCTCAGTTGACGCGCGTTTCCCACCCACTCATCGATCCACTCACGTTCAATCAGTGACCTGCAGTGCCTGCGCTGCCTGCTCTGCCAGTGGGCGTCCATGAGACTTTCCTTTCGTTCTTCATGATGACCGACGCTGCTTCTTCCGCCGATATCTCCATTGGGTGCCTCTGTACAGGATGTCGCTGACAACCGGTTCAGCCTCAGCACATCCCCTTGTCTCCAGGTGCAGCTGCAAATGTGAACATGAGCGGCCTCACTTCCACCCATGGCGGGTCTGCTTCTGCCAGGTTGACCGTTGCTCCCACGCAAAACACCGCCCCCGTCCATGAATTCCGCTGTCTCTACACCCGCGACCTGCGCAAGAAAGCAAAGAAATGGCACGATGGCTCGTTGCGGTTCCACACCTTCAATCGACGCGTTATGGTCTATGACGACGCGAAAAATTACATCGGGGACCTCCATTACAGGCAAGAGGAGGAGTTTACTGAGGGTGTCGAGATCCAGCTGGACCGCGGTGTCATGGTAGAAGTCGGGGAGCGTCTTGGTGAGACTCAGACAGATTTGGCCCCAATTCTCGAAAGGGCACGACCAGAAAAGCCAACTCCTCTACCCCGACAGACGACGGCCTCAGCAACTCGCCCCCTGTCCACTGGCCCCTCTCAAAGGCCCAAGTCGTTGTTAGAAGTGCTGGGACCTTCTCAAGGTCGACCAGGGCGTGCAAGGCTACCAGCACACTCTCCTTATGAGCAGAGACGGTCCGCTAATCGGGTAGGGCTAGTGGGATCACCTCAGAAAAAGCAGCGACTTGACAGTGACAAGGAAAACCAATTCGACCATGTCCACCAACCAGTCCGGCCTGTGAGGCCTCGCTTACCTCAGCCCATGCAACCGAGTAAGCCCGTCCCGCAAACCCGTGGGCCTCCAATGCAGTGTGAAGACATGATCGATTTGTCGCTTGACGAAGAGCCCATACGACAGGTGACGAAGCCGACAAGGCTGGGAGCTAGAGTGGTGGTAAATGAACCCCCAGAGGAGCAGTGGCTTACCCCTGAATTACCACACGCGAGGCCAACGCTACGCCCTCAATTGGATGCCGGGAAAGAGAAAGTGAGCAAGGAGAGACGACAGAAATCCAAAGCCCCTGAAAAACTAAAGACACGCACCAATGGGGACTCTTCAACCACGTTCCGTCCACCAGTCGCGCGTACTTCACGGTTGCTCATCGGCCAACCAAAGCCCAGGCCCAAGCTGACTTGTGTGCTACCGTTTACTATAGCTACCAAGGCTGCATCAAGGCTGCAAACCTTTGAGAGTTCTTGCCCACGGTCAGCTCAAGAACGTTTGCCTGACGAGGAAGTCGTATCGTTGTTGTCAATGGATGTGTTGGACACCAATGATAATGACTATGCGCCGCGAGATCAAGTGTCACTCTCCGTTGCTTCGAGTGTCCATGGGCCAGTGCAGGAAGACAACCTCCATTCCAGCCCTCTATTTATACCGGAGGAGACTCTTGAGAGAAGCTCACCTTCTCCCAGACCACTCCCGACACAAGAGGAATTTCTCTTTCCAGGGTCTGACATCAGCGCACTGTCACAAAGTCCACCGAAACCCCCAACCGTCCCGGATGAGGCGGTGACTATAGCAGATTTGGAGCTTGACATCGATACTCCATCGTTGGTGAATAATGAAAACCCACGCCCACGGTCACCCTTCCAGGTCTCTCCCCGAGTTCCCAATCCGTTCGATACGTTCCCCGGACGGTCCAATAGCTCCGACATACGCCAGTTCCGACGGGTCTTCTCTGAGAACGATGCGGTGGAAGATGATACATCCACTGTGATGCCGGAGCCCGTTGTACCTGAAGCAAGAAGCCCCTTGGGATTGCTGAGCAACCCAGCGGCAAAGGAAAGCCCTCCCAAGTCGAAGAGTCCAAGCAAAATTCAGCGGTGCGCCTCCGATACCAATGCATTAGACACGGACAGTCACGATAGACGAGGGTCGACCGAAGAGGGGGTGAAAGCGCCGACAGGACCTTGGACTGAGGACGAAGCCTTTCTTCTATTTGACTGGTGGCCCGCCGACGTGCAAAAGCCGGTATATTGGAGGGACCAGATGGAACAAGCCTTGCCACGTATGATGGCTCCGGCAGCGCCCGATGTTCGGCCTGGCATCACCACAGCGCGTCAATATCTCTTCCTTCGCAACGAGTAAATGTGTTATGAGCCATTGATAAGTACACGAGACCTTGTCCGACTATGTAGCTTTTAAGGATTTGTTCCAGTTATTTGCGTTTCAGCCTCGTCTTACGAGGCGGGCAACTCCGCCGTTCCACAGACACCACTTCTTATCATTCTAGTATCTCTGATTGTGGGCTTCAATGACATCTCGTAAGGCACGAATCTATCTCCCAAGTCTCGAACAGCGTGGTGGATATACAAGTAGTTGGACCTGGACGAATCACAAAGTCATGTTGTGAGCGTCTGAGCGGAACCATTTGCCTCTTGACTTGATCGTATCAAACCATCCATTTCTCTGCGCCATTTTTCTATCCTCACATCACTCACTCACTCGCTCTTCTTCCCTTTCTATTTATCCATGCTCTACACCTGAAAGAATCCAGCGCCACGTCACAATCACCACCACTGCCACAATGGCCACCTCCATCATGTCACCCCAGCCCGTTCCGGAGGCTCTGCCCCAGAACCCCTCGGGCCTGAGCATCCTCGAAGAAGTCGAGGCCGCGCAAGAACATCTCCGCAGTCGCCTCGCGGGGGCTCTCGCTGGTCCTCCACCTTTGGCTACGGCGCTCGAGTCCCTGCCGACGGTGCCTCTGATCGACATCGGCCCGTCGTTCGCCGACGACAAGTCCCTGCGCCGGGCAGTGGCGAAGCAGATCCGCGAGGCGTGCGTGACGACGGGCTTCTTCCAGATCAGCAACCACGGCGTGTCGGCCGAGGCGATGACCGGCGTGTTGAGCCAGGCAGAGCGGTTCTTCCACCAGCTTACCCCGGAGAAAAAGGATAAGTTGCACATGAGGCACTCGCCGCTGTTCCGCGGGTATGAGCCCCACGACTACACGTACGTGAACCCGGACGACATGGCGGTCGGAAGTGGCGGCGGCGGCGACGACTCGACGACGACGACCACAACGCAGGAACAGTCCGAGCCGGAGACCAAGGAAGGCTTCAACTGGGGGTACGAAGAGCGGCTGGACCCGACGGGCGGCGACGGGAAATACGTCGAGCTGGACGGACAGTCGCCGGCGTCGACGGGCCAGGGCAACATCTGGCCCGACGAGGAGGACCTGCCGGGGTTCTACGACGCCATCCGCCTCTACTACGGCCAGGTGCTCCAGCTGGCGCGACACCTGTTCCGGCTCTTCGCCCTGTCGCTCGGCCTGGAGGAGGAGTACTTTGACGCCGTCATGACGCACCCGGGCGGGATTGCCAGGCTGCTGTACTACGCCGGGCAGCCTGCTGTCGCGCGCAACGACCAAGGGAGCAAGCTCGGCCTCGGCGCCCACACCGACTACGAGTGCTTCACGCTGCTCCTATCCTCGACGAACCCAGGCCTGGAGATCCTGTTCCCGCCCTCGCCACTGACGGAAAACCGCCCCGTCTGGCTTCCCTGCCCCGTTCGCCCGGGCACCCTGACCGTCAACGTGGCCGACTTCCTCATGCGCTGGACAAACGGCCTGTACAAGTCGACCGTGCACCGCGTCGTGAGTAAACCCGGCACCGGCGAGAGGTACTCGGTGCCGTTCTTCTTCAGCATCAACTACGACGCAGAGGTCGTGCCCCTGCCGGAGAGTGTGGTCGGGACGAGCAAGTGGCGCCCCGTCAAGGCGGGGGAGTACATCCTCGAGAGGTTGCGGGCGACTACTGCATAGACAGGACGGAGGGAGCCGAGGGAAGGGAAGGAAAGGAAAATGAAAGGGGGGAGTTTGCTGGTTCTGGTTCTAGTCAATCGAGGCTACGCGAGACGAGGTGCCGAACAGTACGAGACAATGCTATATCTACCTAACTACCTAAATGTACGAGTTGACGAGGCATTCTCAACTGATCCCCCCTTTGACCTATTGTCAAGGCACTCAACCCTCCCTCCTCCACTGGTAATCAAGTATCTGCCCTGTCTGGACTTTTATCTGTTCTACAAACGCCATCCCATCCAACTGACGGTGATAAGTGGCGGTTGAATACAAGAGTTTGACGAGTTAACAACAGAATCAAACTCAGCAAAGCAAAGACTCAAAAGGTTGTCCAAGCTGTTTATTGTTTCCAGGGGTCGGGAGTATGTTGAATATCTCTAATGATTTGTATCGTATTCCCGTATCCTGAAGAATACACCTCAAGTATCAATAGAATCGTCATTTTCCTCCCCAACGAGTGATTGCGCTGGCCAGGGTCTATCAATATACCTGTACATTACTCCTTTCGGGTGTCTGTTTCAAAGGACCGCCTCCGGGCACTATTGAGAATGTCGTTCGTCCCATTCAACGCCTCAGTTCCGCGAATATGTACGGGAAAATAACCTCGCAAGCCTTCAAGAACAATAACAACCCCTGAAACATGCTGAGAGGCAACAAAAGCCATCCGTTCTCCCGAACAAGCACCCAGATACTCAACAACGCCACGCTAAAGAAGTGATAAAACAGTACAAAAGGTTGCGGGATGATGCCCGCCAGTAACCCCACGGGTTCGTCGACGCATTTGCCGCCCAGTTGAAAATACCGGAAACACCCCTTTTGGAGGTACTTGAGTTGCCAGTCACTGGCGGCAAAAAGCGAGTACAGCGCTTGAGCCAGGATGTTGATGACCGAGCTCAGATTCTTGCGTTGCCAGTGAAATGTGCGGAATTGCCTGAGGACGAGCCGAGTGTCTGCGAGATCTGGGACATTTGCGGGAGAGAGTAAGTCGGAGAGTAAGACGACATCAGTCAAAGCGACCGTCATACCGCCACCAGTCAAGGGATGGCGCATGTTCAGAGCATCACCGAGGATGGCCAGACCTGGGGTTGTATTGGTTGTCGGAGGGAGAAAGGAGTTGGGCATGCTTCGAAGGCTGCCTTTCTCCAGAGCGGCCTCAAACGACGGTTGCACCATAGCGGGTAGCGATGGGAGCACCACCTTCTGTAGATGACCTTTGACGCCACCATTCGTCGTCGACGTAGATGCTAAACCGTCTGGAATATCCACCAATGCTCGCGTCTCGTGAGTGCCGATCTGATACAGCAGAACAGGGGCATTGTCTCCCAAGACCACTGTGCCATGCTGTGGGATCGGGAGAGGACAGTCGATCAGTTCCAGCCCCCAAAATTTTGACTTGATCTGAGGCGTGTGCGAAATGTATGATTTTCGAAATTTGGAGGCATATCCGTCGCAGACAACGGTCAATGACGCAAAGAAATAATCCTTTTGTGTTTTTTGGGTGATGGATTCGGCCCCAAGAACTTCGCCGTTATGAGAGGACACAATGAGTGAAGTGGCCTCGGTTTCGAAGACGGTAATGTTGGGGTGTGACATGGCTGCTGCGCGCAACCGAGATACGAATCGACCATGGTGGAATGACCGTCCCTCTGCCCTCTTGCCGTTGCCTGCCACTTCCGAACTTCGATCCCGTGTGTGCCGCGTCGAGGTAGGATATGGAATGGGCACCTGTTCGTCATAGTAAACCACGGTATACCCTTTCACCGGAATCGCATCGATATCGTCGAGCGTGTGGCGCAAGCCCAGTTTCGTCAATGCCTCGAGACCGCCTGGTTGTAGAAGTTCTCCGACTATGCGATCCGGCTCTTTCAATGATTTCTCGAGTAGGATGACACTGCGCCCTTGGTTGGCCAACGCCACTGCTAATGAGCACCCCACGATGCCCGCGCCCACGATAACCACGTCGGCATCGTGATGTACCTTTCGTCTCTCTTCCTGGAAGTCTGACCCCGACTCCACCGAGGACTCCGAAGGGGTGTCGAGTATAAGAGGCATGGTAGGAAACGGAGAGGGTGGAAGCAAGTGGTCGCAAGGGGGCGTTATCTAGACATGAACCAGCGGTGTTGAGATCGTCGAAGAAATGGTCTTTTAAGATGCGACCCCCTGTTGTGGAGGACGATGGCTTCTGTGGCGTGAGGCGTGGTGTGATAGACAACAGACGAGTTCAGCAGAGTCTCAAGAAGTGGCAGTGGCACTGACTGCATGCCGCGTTCTGCTGAGTGGTGACGACCTCCACATGCGTTGATTGAAATGAGAAAGTCGACGGGACCACAGTAAAATTGCTGGGCAATCGGTCATTGGCCCGCACGTATCAAGCGAGGAATAAATCGAGTGAATCATGCAAGGCACGACAGTTGGTTTTGTCTGGGTTCCGGATCGTACGAGCCAGTCCATGATCATTGGTCAACCTCGTCGTGCTACAAGCGCCTTGGCATCTCAGCCTCGTCCGCACCCAAGGACTATATTGGCAGTCTCACAGCATCGAGCACCTCATCCCTCGTAAAGGAGAAGTACCGAGTTACAAGTACATTGCATCGGCGTCCTCTTGGGTTTAAGAATGTTCACGTCCTCCTCGTTCATTCTCTCTAATCTGCTCATCTACTGTCCCGCTGTCTCCAATACCCCTCCGGGCATCATCTGACAATTTCCCATTTGAGCCCAACCTTGGCCTTTCCCCCCTTCCACTCGCTTTGTATCGCCTCAGCAGTGTGCTGAAGGCCTGCGAAATATGACGTTTTTGGTACCGCCCTTGCTCTATTCTCCCACAACTTTCAACAATCAAAAGAGGAAATAAAAGGAAAGGGGAAACAATGTCCCCACGACTGGCTGGGGTCGCAATGGATCCATTTCTATTGCCCAATCTCATGATCGTCCGGCTTCCGCCTTTTGCAAAACATCAACAAAGCTTTGGAGCGAGGCCGTGAGCTGCGCCTACCTGTCAAAACGGCGCTGCTTTCCCTGGATTCCTCGGGCCATTCTTCGAAAGATCCAGCCCTTCAGTCCAGCCGTATATGTGAATGCATCCCGCAGCTTTCAGGGGTATGTGGTAACGTCCCTTGGGTACTGAAAAAACGCCGCTGCCATCCTCATGCGCTGAGCCCCGGTCAGGGATGCTGCTTCCTGCTAGATTGACAAACGCCAACAAATTTTGTCCATGCATAACCCAAAATCCATAGAACGACTAGATGTGTGCTGTTGATATCATAAATGCTGTCCCTTGTCGATCTGGTTCGCGACATGGTGTCAGAGCCCAATATTCGAGCCTGACAGGACGGCGTCTCAATGAGGTGGACAAGCCAAATAAGCTGCAGATCATGGCAAAATTCTGCAAAGGAGCGCCTAGCCGCCTTTCCGTAAGGACTCGTCGGCAGGGAGGGTTTCTCCTACAGAAGGATTCGACGTCTGAGCATCATTCTCCGATTTGACCGTCTTTCTTTTATTCTTTTTCTTCTTCTGGGTTTGCCAGCCGCTTGGTCCACCGGCATTCGGAACAGAATTGACGTGACTGGATCCGTGGTTTGAAGATCCTGAAGTCCCGTTGGTTCTGGATGCTAGGGGTCTGGTCGCATCACGATGCTCACCATTCACCAAAATTGTCTGCCCATCGGATGAGGGCCCATTCTGGCTGGGATGACCCTTAATATCCTTTGGTAAAGAGCTCTCCCCGTCAAATTTCTCAACTCTTGGGGACGGCGTGCGGACTTCCTCCACAGAGGAGAGTTGCCGATCAAGAGACCAGGCTGGGCCGACCGCTTTCATCGTAGTGAGGACACTCATCCCCACCGATTCCCCTACACCGGCCACTTGGTCCTGCAATCCCTCCTTTGGACTCTTTGCCATAGCTCTCAAGGGTAAATAGCCATTCACAAAATCTGGAGCAGCATTGGTTGAATGCTGGACGTGATTTCGAGGCCCACTGGGGCTGATGGGAGAAGTCTTCCCGTGTGCATTGCAGTCGAAAGCGTCTTGAGATTGTTCGTCTGAGCTTGATGGCGTGTCAAATGCCAGGTCTTCGGACGTGGATGCGCTGAAATTGATATGATCTTCAGGGTCATTGAATGAGTGGGTGGTACGCCTTCGGAGCGGTGAATTGATGGAGCCATCCACTATCAGGGCCCGGCCCTGGGTTTCGATGGGGTGGGTTCAATATTGCTGGCTTCACCATTCCTCGGCTCCTGCTCTGCTTCGGCTTGCACTTCCACCGAGGCAGTAGAGATCGTTTGAAGTGGCGGGGTGTGCATCGTCCCAGACGGTCGGGTCGATGCTGGAGCAAGTCGAGGAGATAGACCCCCGTTCTGAATAGCAAGGCCAACGTGTGAAGGGATGGGAGAGATTGCGGTGCTCTGAGTATAAGCAGATAATGACGGCGATTGGCCGACATAATATCCGAGATACTCAGCTGGCCTCCGTACTGCATCATAAATTGATCCAGTCATACCATAGCCATTCTCCATGTAACCCATGTACGGTTCTTGAGACGTCGACGATGAGGACGACCTCCGTCCGATCGACGGATCCTGAAGGCTTGCAATATCCGGTCGTTGCAAATGTCCTAGAGAAGTGAGTGGCACCGCGCGTGCAGGCTGTGACTGCGCTCGCAAGGAACCTCCTGTAGATGATTGCGTAACCGATGTTCGCCGTGAATACCTTCGAGTGTCTGGAATCCCCGAATTTAGTCTCGGTGACGGAGGGTTTGTTGCTACACCCTGGCTTGGTTGGCTTGCAGAGAGATACGGCGATCGAGGAAAGCCGTGTTGATACAGGGGTGCTGACATGGGAGCTCGGCCAATGCCGTTGACCTGTGGGTTGGATCCAAGATCAAGACCATCATCCGGGACAAATTGACCATATCCCGCAGATTGACTATAAGCCGCCATTAGACCTCTTTGCCGAAGATTCTGTTGATAGAGCTGCATCCTAAGCTCCTGCTCCTGAAGCTGAAGGTATTGGTATTGTTGGAAGAGCTGGTCGTGCAGGAGATGTTGCTGGTGCTGTTGTTGAAGCTGCAGCTCATGGGTGTTCATCTGAAACGGGGGATTGCGCAAGTAGTTGGGATTTCGTGCAGTGGGATTTGACGACCGCCGAGGATTGCGACCCATTTGACCAAGATTCCTGCCGCCACCTCGAGACGCATTACGAGCTCCTCGTGACGGTGGGTTCGGAGGCTGCGGGATCACGGGCCGCGCTGAGGGTGGCACAAAGTGTTCAGAGGGCTTGATCTCATCGGGAGGATGCACAAACTGTTCGCAGCATTCTGTCAGTTTCCCCTCTCCCAACAGCTCAAACGCCCGCCGTAATTCCAGGTGGATCCCTCGCATCGAGGTATCGTCTGCAGTGTTGGCCAGGTTTCTTGATACGTTGAAAGGTTCCTCGACACAAAGACGATTGTCCTGGAGAAGGTGCCACGACTTCTCAACCTTGGAAAGTACTCGACCTAGCCGCACCGATACCACGCTTTGCTCAAAGTCGAGCTCGTGCCCGTAATAACGGAAGAAGTGGAACAACAATTCTCCCAAGGAGGACTGATTGCGACTGCCAAAATCTTTATGAGCGTCCACATTGCGATCGAACGAAACGTTCACTCCAGCCACCTCTTTCGGTTGCAAATTAGGCTGTTGTTGCAAAGTAGGCAAGATTGGAGGGTCTCTTGTTTGCAGAAAATTCAAGGCCAGACATATCCACGTATACGAGCTAAGTGTGCCTCCAAGGGCTTGGGGACCATTAGCACCACAGTCGCAAAGTCAAGAAATCCGAGACGAGACAACATACCAGCGTCATTCAACATCCTTCGCTTCGCCCAGTATTTGATGATCATGGCCAATGGCCTCACTCGGCTGTCGATGCTGACATAGGTCCGGACTAATTGCGTATTCTCCAAAGCCAGGGGGTTGTTGACATTGATGTCGCAAGCGACGTGTAACTCAGGATCCCAGATCTTGACGATTGGCACCTTCGCGGAAGAGACACACACGACTCTTTCCATCCCATGTTTTGCCAGGAGGTCTGCGATGTTGCAAACTCGCTCCATCTCCTTGCAATCAGTGGTGATGCAGATATCAACATCGGAATCCGACGTGCCTAGGTTGTTCCCTGTTGAGCCAAAGACATTGACTTTGATTGATGATGTCGGCCACCTTCCACGAAGTATCTGGTCAAGTTTCTCAATGAACCTTGACCGACGCCCTTCACTCTCGGCGGTGGGTTGTAGTTCTTCATAGAGCTTTTGCATGTCCTGTGTTAGTGTTTCATTCTCCTCGTGGGTCAACCTTGTTTTCAAGTCGGACTTATCCTTTTCCAATGGATCTGGTCCCAGTGAATAGGGAACACGCCGCCGAGCTCTCTGCATACTAGTCTCATATTTACAACCTCCGTACTGTTTCCGGCTGGCAGGGGGCGTATGGCTCTTGTCAGATGGCAGCGATCGAGGAGAACTGGGTTTTGCTGGAGGTTCCGGGGACGGAGAGGTCCTTGTATGAGAACGGGACTCGCTTCGCTGAAAGGGGGTGGAGGGCATCGATTTGGAATTTGAAGAGAGGTGATGTGAGCGTCGTACAGGCTGTGAGGGACTTGTACTCGACTCCATTTCCATGTTTGGCTTGAGAGCCTGAGCAGATGGAGCGGTCATCGGTGCAGATATACTGTTTCCCTCATCTTTCGGCACTCTGTAAGTCATATGACGGGCCAGAGCAAAACTGGGCTCGAAGTGCCTTGATTGAAACAATCGCCACGAGACCGGTCGCGCTGGTTCCGAGAATGTATATCGTCTGTTCTCTTTTGTTTAAAGCAGTATAGATTTTCGAGATCACCACCGTCCAATCGCGATTTTGAGCGAGTTCTGATGACGGTTTCGGGATGGACTGGCCAAGTGCTGCATACGAGCGTTCCAGAGTAACAAGGAGTACCGCGTTTAACAAATGGTGTGGCGCGACACACAACCGACTTGCTTTTTCTTTCTTGTGAACAACACTAGCCAGCCAGGGCAAGGAGACCTCGTCTGTGTCGAGGATTGTCTGAGTAAGCCCGTCGAGGGCGGCGAGGTGAAAGAGGGATTGGTCGGCGGATCTGTAAGTGAGTCGAGACCAGACCGATGTTTAGAAAGGCGTAGAGCCGCAGTGCAAGTTGCAATGAGGAAGACTTCGAGAGACGGAGGACTTTGGAACTGGGCAGGAGGTTGCTGGGATTTCTGCTCGAGGTGGGAGAGGAGAATACGGGGGCGGTGGCGTAGAAATTTGGTGATATACAGAATTGAGAATGCGAGCAGAAGTAGGATAGGGCCTCTAGGCGCGTGTCAAGAGGGAAGATATGTCGAGGATGGGACGAGGATAGAGTCGACAAGAAAGTGGTTCGAGCAGGTAGGTGATGGGTGGAAGTGGTCGAGGTGCGAGGTTGCAGAGAGATGATCCTCGCTTGTTCCTGGCTGCGGTGCAGTGCACTGACTACAATGGAGGACCGTAACTGGGAGAGGAGACTTGTGGCCGTCCGGCCGCGCTATGGGTGCTATGGGGAGCTTAGGGCTACGGGTGCTGGCCTGTGGGAACTGGCAGACTGGGTAGCAGTTGTACGGAGCAGAGCGAGCCCGCGGCGGCGGCGAGGGTCTCCGAACAAGTCTCAACGCCCGTGGCTTGCGGGTGGATCAACCAGAGAAAAAGTTCCCCCCCTCAATACGGTCATTAGTGCGCCAGCAACCAGTTTACAAACAGGGCCTTTTCTTCACGGCTAAAATGGACTCTTTTATTCAGGCGTTGGATCTGTCTCGAGCAGCTGTGGTACGAGTGATGCCGACACCGCGCAGGACCACGCAGATTGCACAAACAGCCCACGGCTAACAACCAACAGTCATCAACTAGCAGGCCAGCATGGCGGTGTCCGTCGTCTTCAGCCGTCTATCTTTGTACCTACATATGACCGTGAGGCTTTAAGATCCCAGTGTCTTGTTTTCAGCTTCACCAAATACACACCGGTGGTGACGGGGTTCCATCTGCAGTTGACCAGGGACCAAGATGCGCAGCTGCGGAAGTTAGCTACGCTACACAGCATTGCAAGGCAAGACAAAGCAAAGCAGGCCTATGGCCCGGAAAACAGGGTGAGAAAGCCAGCCAAGTTCATCTTCCACGATGCCTAATGCCTGAGGTCTTAGGATCCCCGTCGCCTGCTCACCCAGACCCCTAATCTCCCTGGCCCTGCTTTGCCTCATCCTGACCGGTCTTTGGAGATGGGAATTGTGCGGTATACCACCACAATCTATACATAACAAGATTGGTTATATACGGTATGCTCAGCAACCGTATATGTGCCCTGTCAGATTCCACTAGCGCGTCGCGTTCGATAGGACACCGCGTTTATTGCTTTTTGAAGAGGTTGATCATCCGTCTGAATGGCCAACATGGCGTCGCCAGGGTCACGGCCAGAAAGCAAATTCCAAACCTTCCCAATCATGCTTGGTCCAAACCACGAGTCCACGTTTTCGGATGAGATTGTCCAAAGGCTTGGTAGACACGGTAGGCCAATGTCGGATCTGCGCCTCAAAAACCCGATGAGTAAGACGCCCACGATCCTTCCTCCTTTTTACCATACTCGTACACAACCCTTTTCGAGGGACGAGGGGTGTCAGCGGTGCTCAGCCTTGAATGTCCCTGCCGCCCTGCCTGCTGCCGGCTGGATGCAGACCGGTGATCTGAAATGCTGTCTTAAGATTCTGACCGCCCAACACGCTGCTTGCCGGTGCCAATTATAGACCTAGCGCCCTCCTCCGCAATTTTGGGCACCGTTGCCACTAAGAGGCTAGGCTGACTTAACGGGCACACTGTGATGGTGTTGGTGTTTTGGTCTAGCGGAAGAACCCCTGAGACCATCAGAGAAAAGAAGTGGTGCGTGAGGCCCAATTCTACGAGACACCTAGAGCACGGGGCAGTCCTCGCTCCGTGCAGGAAGAGTGCTTCATCTTTTTGGCGAGCAAGGCCACTTTCTTGTCGCCCCTATTCTTGAACTCTTCTATTTTGTCCACGGCGCATGTCCATGTTTACTTAGCTCGACCCACGTCCTTTAATATTAATACTCTGCAGCCTCGGATTTTCGGTTGTTGTGGTCCTCGCGAGCCACGAGTCGTTGGTGGGAACCGCATGATGGGAAAGTATCAAAATAATAGCTTCAAGAGTTTGTTCCGTATGCGACGGGACAACTATATCTGACCTCTGCACCAAATTGGTATTGGCTCTAATCACAGGCGCAGAATTGCACATCACGCCCGCACCGGCCAGCTACCTCGTACACATACCAGTACAAGGTATAGGTTCTTGATGTCTGGCTGCGGGTGTAAGTATCTTTACTACCTGCGAGTATGTAGGAGAGCCAGTTGACCGAATTGTGGGCACCTATTACGGCTTTTGGCCAACTACCCAGTACATCTACGAGGTACTCAGTGCTCGTACTCATAACAAGTACCGTGTATGTACCTCGTACTAGAGCTCAAGAGTCGCTTTTGCAGTCGCGAAACCTCAATGATTTGTGGAACCATCCGAAATTTGAGGACTAGACCCAAGTTACCAATCTGACCGAATCACGCGTAGGAGCCAGGGTTTCTCAGATTCGAGGAGCTCTTGGACTGGACCGATCAGGTGTCTGGGGAGATGCCTGTGCGCTCTCCTCTGCACAACGAACTAAAAAGGACGGCTGCATGAGATGGCTGTTGGTTCTCTGGTGGTTTGCTGCAGCCGATGCGTGACGAACATGCGTTTGATGGTAATCTTCAGCGTTTGTCTATGCCATTTCTGGAGAATGAGCGCCCTCCACGACCTCGTGGACCATGTGACGAACAAAGGAGTGGCATGGCAATAGCCTGTTGTTAGGGTTCTCGAAAGCACCAGTGGGACAAGTTACCAGTGGACCGGAAGACTCGGATTGGTAGATGCAGAACATGCAGAGCCCTTGGAACCGTTAAGGCCATTGACAGTGAAAGATGCGCCCGGCCTGGGACGGGAACGACAACTGTCACTTGCATTGGTCTCCATTGGCACCAATGGGTTGAGATTGTGGTTGCAGCCTTTGCGTCATAGGATCTTCGTCCTGGTTCTCTTGCAAGATGTCTAGTAGTTTGGCAACACCCTCTTTGCACTCAACCTGTACCCATAGTGAACATCGGACTCATCGCAGTAGTCGGCGGCCGGCAGGGAAATTGACCAAAGCAAATATTGCTTCAAAATGTCCCCCACCTACGCAAGAACAACAATTTACTGGCCATTCCAGAGGTCTCCACCACGGAGAGACAATTTGCTTCGACAAGCGTTCGACGATGGAATACTCATGAAAACGACCCTGGCTCGGCTTCGACTTCTTTTCCTCATCTAGATCCGCCTGGAATGCTCGTGGGAGGGCCGATCTCGAGGGGGGTCCTGAGGCTGGTAGAGCTCGCCAATTATCATTATTCATTTTGCTTCTCAGAACTCCTGGAACTTGTAGGCGTTCGACGTGTGGAGAGGTTTTCTGGGTCTGGCATTGCCGATGACCCGGCGACACAGATTTAGCCGGTCATCGTTAGCTCGTGGGTAGTGATGGTCGATGATGACCCGCCTGCGGCTCGGTGTTCGCTGAGCTATTCTCTAGCACAAAAGATGAGGAAGGATGAGGAGGAAGAGCGACTCCCGGCAGGAGAAGGAGAAGAGCGAGGGAGATGACGAGAGATAAAAGAGCGAGTAGGAATATGCTCGTAATTGCAGTTCAGGAGAAGGACTCTGAGCTGGCCGGGAGGTACAAAGTCTTGGGATTGGGATGCCACGGATGTCTCCCTCCCAGTAGGTACTCGGTACTTGGGTATCTATGCACTGAGTGCGCGGTGCTCTCAGTACTCCCCAGTTCTCCCCCCACATTTTTTGATTGTACCTAGGCAAGTAGTTTTAGGTGGTCTTGAAGCCTACAGGTAGTAGTAGCTCGTGGTCATGAGGGGGCTTTTTTTTGCCTTCGACAGGCCCTGCGAATTTCCCTGTCGGAAAAAGTCGTCCTGATCCTGAACTTGCAGAAACATTTTTTTTTAACCCTCATCTCCATCTTTCTCCGCCTGCGCTTCCTTTTCCTTTTGTCCCCCCTATCCTCCCCCGTTCCTTATATCTCTTTTTGTGTCGCCTGCCGCCTCCCGCTGCAGTGCGGGCTTTCCGTTCACGATCAGTCTTCCTCTCGCGCGGTACTCGTTTCTGTCAAACTGCCACCTGCGATCTGCGAGAATCCGAGCTCGGCTCCTGGTTGATCTGTAAGTCGCCTCACATTCTCTCCAGTCGCCTTCCATTCCCGTGGCCACCCCCGGGGCAATTCGACCGATCCTACAGAAGCCATCATTGGCTCGAGTTGGGCGAACCG